TACTGAAGCCTAGCAAGTGTTTCATCTGCCCGCTGGCGGATACATATTCAGAAGTTGTAGTCCAATTTTATCGGCAGTGGATCGTCAATTTTCTGCCTGCCTGGGCCGAGTTTCAAATTGTTAGCATGGTCACGTATCTTGGCCTTGTGATGGGCCCTGGAGCTAACACGGATGCCTGGCACCTGCCCATCAAGAAATGGCTGTCTCGTGGTGCCCAAATCTCCTCTGCTGAGGCCCCGACTGCCGTTGGAGAATATCTTTATGAGCGGAGAGCGATCAGTGTGCTCTCTTATGTCTCTCAGTTTAGCCGCCTCCCATTGTCCATCCCTGGCGTCCCAGCGCTGCGGCGCGCTGAGCATGCCGCGCTCGCTGCCATCTTCTCGACTCACCATTGCGCGCTCTCTCGTGCCTCCTGGTGCTCGTTGTATAAATGGGGCGGGCCTCGCATCACATCCATTGAAGCGTTGTGTGCTGCTACTCTTGTGCGTGCAGCCCATAGCACATTCTTAGAATGGCGCCCGCTGTTGCGCATGCTCGAAGCGGAGGCGGATAGACAACTGTCGTTGCCCGATCTGGCCTCTGGTCGGCGTTATCCCAGACTCAGGAGGTCCAAAGCTTTCGTCGAGGAGCTGGAAAGCGCGGCTTCTGGATTCTGCGATCACAGAGAATACAAAGTTGCGGGCGCCGCGGCGGTTCGTGCCGTCCGCGAGCGCCTTGTTGCCTACCGTAGTATGCCCAGGACCCCGAAAAGGTTGAAACTCCTCCAGGGGGCTGCTTTGCGTGCTTTCTCGGGCGCCTTTTTCCCTGACTCTCTGGCTGCGGATTGGAGCGCTCGGCTCCAGAGGTATTTTCCCGAACGCATTCGGCAGGTGACTAGCGTGAACTGGAATGCTGTCCGTGTGCAAGCTTTAAAGTTCCCGCCTGGTTTGCGGAACTCGCTCTGGCGCACGTGGAGTGGTGCGTGGTGCACCTCGTCTCGAATGCACGATGACGATCTGCTGCCATGTATGTTAGGCTGTGCTCATGCCCCTGATTCTTTCGCTCATTACTGGTGTTGTCCTCATCTCTGTGCTCTCCTTTCTGAGCTTCTCCCGTCTTCTGTCCCCGTTTGTCCCATCCGTCGGCTCGGCCTGCTCGATCCCTGTGATGCCACTCTTCTCTTTCCCATCGCTGCCTATCAACTGTTCATTCGGCTGGACAAGATGTCCAAGCCGGTCGGCATCGAAGAGGCCCACAGGTGCTTCCCCACTGTGCGTGCCGCCCTTCAGCGCAGGCCAGGCGCCCGCGGCTCGGCGGTAGAGGCGGCAGCGAGAGGATGAGGACTGCGTGCGCATCGGCGACGTGCGAGGAGGAAGAGGAGGAGGAAGAGGAGGAGGAGGAGGAGGAGGAGGAGGAGCAGGAGGAGGAGGAGGGGGGGAAGGAGGAGGAGGAAGAGGAAAAGAAGAATAAAAAAAAAAAAAGAGGATCAGGAGGAGGAGGAGGAGAGGAGGAGGAGGAGGAGGAGGAGGAGGAGAGGAGGAGGAGGGGGGGGGGAGGGAGGGAGGGAGGAGGGAGGGCACGGGCGACCACAACCACTTACCAGACAGAGGGGGCGACGGTCGACCAGGGGGGCGGGTGCTTGCATCCAACCTCATGCCCCTCTTCCATCATCTCTTCCTTCTCATCATCATCCTCGTTCTCGCTCCTCCTCCTCTTCCTCCTCCTCCTCCTTTTCCTCCTCCTCCTCTTCCTCCTCCTCCTCTTCTCCTCCCCCACTCTCTTGGGCCTCCCTGGCCCTGGCAAGCACCGCAGGACTTGTCTCGAGGGCGCTCGAGCATCCCAAGACCCCCATGCACCCCTGGCGGCTAGAACGCGCAAGGGCACACTTTTTGATACAAAGTGTTTCGGCGCGATGTTCTCGGGCTCCAGACCGGGGGGTTCAGTGACATCGCCGAGGCCCCAGAAGATTCCAGGGGCCTCCGGGTCTTTCCGGCTATTGGATCATTACCAGGAGGACGGCCTGCGTGATTTTGGTTTGCCTTTTGCGCACGATGGCGATTGGCGATTCTACAAATATTGTTGGGTGATTCTTGTAATTTGGACCTGCAGCTGCTTCAGTTTAGGCCGCGTTAAATTACAATTTCGAATACAGCCTCATGACGGTGATTCTTCTGATCATGAATTCAAACACTTTTGCGAAAGCCGATCAAGAAATAGTCAAAGTGCAAAGCCACTGCGGTTCTATACTTCTAGACGTTTCTCGCATGTACCCCCACCAGCCCATCCAGAAACGATGCCCGGGCGAGTTGCCCTGACCAGGGATGTGTGGGAGCATGCAGTGGAATAGCGGGCTGGGGAAGCCGTCGTAACCCAAGAGGAGGATGGAGGAGGAGGAGGAGGAGGAGGAGGAGGAGGAGGAGGACGAAGAGGAGGAGGAGGAGGAGGAGGAGGAGGAGGACCAGTGTAAACCCAAGAACCATCAACCATGTTGGAATACACCGTCCCTCCAAGTTTCCTCTTCATAGGTCCCTACAACGGTTCATTTCCATTGAGGGATCTGCCTCGTTGGAAGACAACCGTTTGAAGACCCGAAAGCATGCCAAAACATTGTTCTTGGGATTCCAACGCCACGGATCAACCTGATTGTTGCGTCTTGACGATCCTGGATTGTACCAGAACGCCATTCTTGGGATCTCAACGCCGCGAATCAACGTAACTGTTGCACCCGCAAAATCCTGAATCCTTCCAAAACACCACTTCTGGTAAGTTGATCGTGGGAATCAGTGAAACTTTTGTAAATGTTTAGAACGAGCGCGGCGCTAAGGCGATAGCCAACCACATTTTGGAAAGAAACTGCCCTCAATCCGTGAAGCTCTTGCATTGTGAGAACGAGCATGCGCGGCGCTGGGGCGAGAGCTACATTTTGAAAACGGGCGATCCTCAATATGTGAGACTCTTGCCATTTTTTAGAACGAGTGTGCGCGGCGCTAAGGCGAGAGCCACATTTTGAAAACGACCCGCCCTCCATCTGTGAAGCTGTTGCCAAATTTTGAGCTTCAGAGATCACCCCCCTCAACGGAGACTTCAGTAGGTAACTCTCCGAGGTTGGGCGTCGCCGCTTCCGTTCTCTCGGGGAGCGCACGAAATCTTCGCAGGATCCTTCGTCGCCGTTTTTCCGGGGCTCCTCGGCGTTCTTTGGGGCGCGTGATGTGGACCGCGGCTTGGCGGGCCTCCTTGGGGCGCGTGGCCTCATGGGGTGCGCCACCGAAGGCCCAGTGTCAGGGTTCACATACATATGTCCCCTGGCAAATTTGGGCACACGCACGCAAGCACACATACACACACCACACGAACAGCAGGGCTCACATGCGTCCCAAGTCCGGTTTTGGCACACACCCCTCACACGGCGCGTGGCTTCACAGGGAAACTCAGGGAGTTGCACCGATGGCCCTTGTCGCAGGGTTCGCGTGCGTCGGGGTAAGTGGTTTGGTGTATTGTCGTCGCTGTTTTGTTCGAAGAGGTTCACTGAAGATTTGCGTGTTGCTCGCCGTTTTTTGTTGGGGTGGGTTTGTGTGGGGGGCGGATCGCGTCGCCTTTTCTCGGTGACACTCGGTAGATGTGCTGGAATTAAATGTTCTTCGCTGGTCTCTCTGAGGGGGTGTGTTAGATAAGAATGAAAGGAGAGTGATCGTAATATTCAGTAATATTCATATCGAGTAATGAAGAGGTTAATCGGGGGATGGGAAAGAAGAGATGGAGGAGGGATGAGGAGGGAGGGAGGATGATGAGACGGGAAGAAAAGAAGATGGAGGATGAGGAGAAGGATGGATGACCAGGGTACACCCAAGACACATCAACGATGTCACAGTACACCCTCCCTTCAAGTTTCTTTGTTATAAGTCCCTCAAGGAATTCGTTTTCATCGCGAGAATTGGTTCATTATGGGACAAACGTTTGAGAATCCCCCATCGCGCCAAGCACACAATTCTTGGGACACCCCCGCCTCGGATCAACGTGATCGCTGCGCCTTAACAGTCCGAAATCGTGCGGTGACGTCGTTCTTTGTACTTCAACGCCGCGAACCAATGTGACGGCTCGCTTCTGACAGTCCCAAGGTGGTGCCAAACACCATTTTTGGGACTTCAGCCATACGAATAATTAAAATTGTTGGGAACGTTCGAGACGAATGCGCGCGGCGCTAAGGCGAGAGTCCCATTATCAAAAGGAGCAGCTCTTCATCCTTGAAAGTACTGCAAACTGTTAAGCCGAATGCGCGCGGCGCAAAGGCGAGAGCTACTTGTTGAAAAGGAACCGCTTTCCATCTTCGAAGCTGTTGCAAATGTTTCAGACGAATGTGCGCGACGCAAAGGCGAGAGCCTCGCTTTGAAAAGCGCCCGCCCACCATCCGTGAAACTGCTGCAAATTCCATGCTTCAGGATCATAAGTGGCGAGGGGGTCTCAGGCGAAACGCCCGGCCCGCCCTACTCACGGGATGAAAAACCGGTCCCAGGGAAGGGGCCCAGACCTCTGGGGGTTGACGTTGCGAACAAGTCACGACGTCGGGGGTCTGGGGCGATGGGGCGAGTGCCAAACTCGGGCCTTCGCCGAGTCGGCGCGGGCGTTCTCCATCGGTTCTGACGTTCGTGCATGGTCTTCCGCGCGGGCCGCCACGGAACGGAAAAGCAAAAAGAAGAAAAAGCAAAAGAGAGTCCCAGGAGCCTCCCCGGCAGCGCCCGAGAGAGGCCGAACGAGGCACGAGAGCGCACCATGAGCGCTCAGAGCGCCGTGCGATCGTCCAGTAATCCGGGGCCGCGGGCAGGAGGGATGAGGGGGGGATGCCGGAGCTTGGGAGAGGAGGGTAGGGGGAGGATGGGCGAGGATGCGTGGAAGAGGGAGGAGGGAGGATGGGAGGAGAAGGAAGACAAAGGAAGAGAAACTAGTGAAGGCAATGGATGGGCCAGGATAGGGGCCAAAGTAATGAGGGACGGGGGGGAGGGAGGAGGAAGGAGGGAAGCTGATGA